CCCGAGGCCACGCGCTTCCCAAGCGCCGCCCCCTTGTAAATGACAACAGATTCGCGCTCCGGAGACCACTTTCCCTTCGCAATTAACTACAGTGGGACCCAGGACAGAACAACATCTCTCAAGAACATGAGACACTCCGCTGGCCCAAACTGAAGAAAACTCGAGGGTGCCCTCCCTCAGGATGCAGAAAAAACATCCAACAAACACGAAGAACATTAGGAGACCCTCCCCGAAACGACCTCGAAGATTGGGTCCCAGCCCTCCCAGAGATTCACAAAACACAGCAAAAGCATGTCGATTCTTGAAGCAGGAAGGCGCTTGAAGTAGATTGGGATCTGGGAATCCAGAAATACCTACTTCCTACTTCCAACGACCGGCGTGTACTGAGATCTGTTCTCGGGGGGCGCTGTTCGGCCTGGCCGTCCGTGGTGTTCCTGAAACCTTCCGCTCGGGGCTCGAGGCCGCGAGAGCCATACGAAAACCGACAGGGGTGCGCGCTCCCGAAGCCGGCATCCTCATCAACCATCTCTGGTGCACGCAAGCAACCAACCAACAACCAACCCAAATCAACTGCCATACCAACAGAACACCGGAAACATGCCAGTCAGCCGACTTGCCGGCCAGCCGTCCCCGTTCGTGCGGTTCCAATAATATGTGCTTAGTTTCACGATTTACAGTTTCTCAGCCTACCCCACCTGTTGCCAGCCCCCCTGTCGGACACCCCCCCTGGCTGCGCTTTTCCAACTGGGGCCCCCGGCGGCTTTGGTGGCCCAATCTTCAGCTCCGACAGCCAAGAGGGCCCCCAAAAGAATGGTTCCATGGCGCACCTGCCCTGGGACGGCCCAAAGACGGCCCGACATGCCCTCCCAACGGCGCAAGAAGCCCCAAGAGGGCCCCAAGAGGACCTCCCATATGGGGTCAGAGGTCAGAGTAGATGGGGTCGCACGATCGCGCCGCATCGCAGATGCATCGGCGATGCATCAGCGACGTTGGCGATGCATCGGCGGCGTCGGCGTGGAGAAAATCGGGCACCACATCGAAACGCACCGCCGATGCGCGACGCGACCCTAGAAGAAGAACAAACATGCGTAACCATAAAGTTTTGGCGCTCCGCGCGGATTTCTTGGATTCGCGCTGGACTCCCCCTCCCTGGCGCGCGGAGCGCGCCAAGGGCGGCGCCGGAGGCGCCGCCGGGGGTCCCAGGCGCGGATCCGAGAAATCCGCGCGGAGCGCCGAAAGTTTATCTTAATGTGGTTCGTTCCTCTTCGAAACCCTCCGACCCCATCTGCTCGGACCCCATCTGGGAGGCCTTTCCTGGCAGCCCTCGATCCCCCCCAAGTGTAGTCAGACCTGGGCCAGAAGAACACCCCTCAAGAGCACGAGGCCCTCCATCTGCTCGGACCCCATCTGGGAGGCCTGTACTGAGCGTGCACGCCGACTTGGACCCTCCACAGTGGGCCCGCGCCGTGCGCGACGCTCCCTCCCTCCGAGCTTCCCCGCTCGCGCGGCGCGGCCCGTGGGGCCAAGCTTAGGTCGGGCGTGTTCCCCTACAGGCGGATTTTGAACGAAAACTCCGCCGACCCCGTGTCGGCGTGTGTGAAGGGCTTTCGTCGTCGTCTCCGTCTCCTGTCCCTGCGCCCACCCTTTCCCTGGGCCAGTCGTCTCTTGTCCCTGCGCTCCCCATTTCCCTGGGCCCGTCTCCCCTCCCCACCGTTCCCCCTCTTCCCTGGGCCCGTCGCCGCTCCCCTCCGCTTTTCCAGGGCCTCCCCCTCAAGAGAACCTTTGTCATTGAGACGAAAAGAAGCCCCTTCCCTTTGATCCCTTCCCTGCCGGGGGGGGGGGTCCCGGGGGGAGGTCCCGGGGGGGTCCCGCGTCAGATACGACTCCCACGCTGGGAGTCCTGGGGTCCACACAAAGCTTCAGACGGGCCAAGAGCCGAGGCATTCTACCACGCCCTCTCCTCTCTCCCCCCTCCTCCCTCCATCTTCATATCTTCTCTTTCTCCTGTCCCCCTCCAGAACCGAACCGGCCTCCTGGACGCTCGGCCACGGGACGCCCCAGGACCCAGACTTCCAAGGTCCCCGGGACCCTCCAGGACCCAGCCCCGACGACCTCCTCCCAGGACCCAGCCCCCCCCAAAGTCCAGGACTCCCAGGCCCCAGGCCCTGCTCGCCTCGTCCTGCTCCTATTAATGAATGTGTGCCAGTGGATCTCCCTGAATACACTAAAGGGGGGGGGGGTCCGGCACCCCTCCCCCTTCCTCCCTTAAGGGGGGGGGGTCCCGACACCCCCCCCCCTCCCTTGACGGGGGGGGGGGTCCGGACCCCCCTCCCTCCCCCCCTTGGCGTTGGAAAAGGTGGGGGGGTCGGACCCCCACTCCTGTTGGGAGTACGGAGTTGGGAGTAGGGAGTGGTGAGTACTGAGTAGTGAGTTAGTGCGTAGTGAGTAGTAGGCGAGTAGGGAGTAGGGAGTAGGGAGTAGTGAATAGTGAGTAAATGTGTACTGGTAAGTGATTAGTGAGTGGCGAGTAGTGCGTAGTGAATAGTGAGTAGCGAGTAGTGAGTACTGAGTAGGGAGTAGTGGGTAGTGAGTTAGTGCGTAATGAGTAGTGGGTGGCGGGTAGGGAGTAGTGAGGAGCGAGTAGGGCGTAGTGAGTGGTGAGTAGTGAGTAGAGAGTAATCAGTAGTGAGTAGTGGGTAGTGATTAGTGAGTTCTGAGTAAGGAGTAGGGAGGTGTAAGAAGTGGGTAGCGAATAGTGGGTAGTGAGTAGCGATTGGTGAGTCGTGGGTAGTGGGAAGTGAGTAGTGACTAATGAGTTGTGACTAGTGGCTAGAGACTATGTGTTGACTAGTGAGTAGGGAGTAGTAAGTAGTGAGTAGTGAATAGCGGTGAGTCAGTAGTGAGTATTCAGTAGCGAGTATGCGAGTAGCGAGTAGTGCGTACTGAGTACTGTGTAGCCAGTATTGTGGAGGGAGTAGTGAGTATCGAATAGTGGGTCGTGAATAGTGATTTGTGGGCAATGAGTAGCTAGTAGTGAGTAGTGAGTAGTGGATAGTGGGTAGTGGGTAATGAGTAGTGAGTAGTGAGTAGTGCTTAGTGAGTAGTGAGAATTGAGTAGTGAGGAGTGAGTAGTGTGCAGGGAGGAGTGAGGAGTGAATTGGCAGTAGTGAGTAGTGAGTAGCGAGTAGTGGGTGGTGGGTAGTGAATAGTGGATAGTGAGTAGTGAGTCGTGAGTAGGGGGGGGGGTCCCCCCCGACGACGGGTCGGGGAAGGGGGCGAGGGGGGGGGTCCCGACGACGGATCGGGGGGGGGGGGTCCTACCCCCCCCCCTGGGGAGATCCACACCATTAATTCCTCCCCCTCCCTCTCCTCCTCCCTCCTCCTCCTCTCCCTCCTCCCCCTCCCCTCCTCCTCCTCCTCCTCTCTCCTCCCCTCCTCCTCCTCCTCCCCTCCTCCCCTCCTCCCTCCTCCTCCTCCCTCCTCCCTCCCCTCCTCCCCCTCTCCCTCCTCCCTCCTCCCTCCTCCCTCCTCCCTCCTCCCTCCTCCCTCCTCCCTCCCCCTCCTCCCTCCTCCTCTCCTCCTCCCTCCTCCCTCCTCCCTCCTCCCTTCCTCCTCCTCCTCCCCCTCCTCCCTCCTCCATCCTCCCTCCTCCCTCCCTCCTCCCTCCTCCCTCCTCCTCCTCCCTCCTCCTCCCTCCTCCCTCCTCCTCCTCCTCCTCCTCCTCCTCCTCCTCCTCCTCCTCCTCCTTCCGTTTGCTCCTCTCCCCTCCTGCTCTCTGACGTCCTCCGCCTCCTGCTCCTCAACGCCCTGGTCCTGCTCGTCGTCTCCGTCTGCAGGGTAGGCGGCACTGGCCGCAAGGCCTTCGCAATAGAACACTATCCAAAAATAATAAAATATTGTCAAACATACGATTAGAATCGTCCTCAGACTATCTTTCTACCATTTTTGATAGTCCTCCTGTAGGGGGACGTGCCAAGCTTCAGGCCAGGCGAAGAGAAGGGGGCGCGGGAAAGGGAGGGGCGGGGCAGCACGGGAACGAGGCGGCGGGGTGGGGAGGCGAGGGCAAACGGACCGGCCCGGGGCTGCCCGGAGGCCCCCTTGAGAGGAGCCCCGGAATAACGGGTGGGGGTATGGCGACCCCTATCCCCAGCTTTGCCGTGGCTTCCGAATGAACCAGACATTTGTGGCCAAACTCGAGGATAGGCGACGGGGGGCGCCCGTTCTCGTAGGGGGCACTCCTCCTCCTCCTCCTCCTCCTCCTCCTCCTCCTCCTCCTCCTCCTCCTCCTCCTCCTCCTCCTCCCTCCTGATTGGCCAACCTCTGAGGTGGGGACTCGGGTGTGATGAGCCGCTTGTGAACGAGGCTTTGATGATGTTGCCCACGCTGTGTGTGTGTGTGTTGTCACCCCCTTTGTCTTCGAGATCGACGCGTCTGTTCCTTGTCGGTGTCAATGTTTTTCCGTTTCGGGCTTCTCGTTCGCACCGTTTTCGGTTCGATTCTGATGTGTAACTGCCGTGTGCTCGCATGTTTGGGGCTGCCCTGTTTCGTGGTTCTTTCCGTTCTGTGTGTCCGCAAGCCGACGACTCGATCACACAAACAACGCTCCCAGCGCTTCAACATCACCCAAGGACGGAGAGCCCCGGAGACGGGCGAACCGAGGGCGCCAGGCTGGCCCGAATTCCGGCGAGGGCCACGGCCCGCGCGGGGCCGCAGCAACGATTGAGCAGGAACCGACCGCCCCGGCAGTCCTATAGGCCTACGGGGGCATGTCCTCAGAGCAACCGATGCTCGGACAATTCAGCGACAACGTTCTCAGAGCACAAGGCCGACGTATCAGAGCAGGCCGACCTCAGTCAGACATGCTCTAAGAACCTTTCGTGCAGACCACAAGAGGTGCTCAGAACATCCCTTTGGTGGGCCCCACAGGCAAGCCAGGACGCCTCCCCACTGCTTGAGGCGGGGCCGCAACAACGCCACCCCCGAGCGCGGCGGCAGCCGGCCGCCCGCGGCAGGCCGCACCTCCACCGCCGTGAGGGAGAAGTCACAGGACGCCTGGCCCCCGCCGCCGGGTCTCGGCGGCGCTGCTGCGCTGCGCGTGCGTGGGCATTTGTGTCTGTGTGTGTGTGTCTGTCTGTGTGTGTGTGCGCGTGCTCGGACGTGTAAGGGCGTGAGCATGTGCATGGGCACGATGGGCGGACGATGTTGATGATAGGAGTGCGTGTGAGCATGGACATATGATGTGCATGATGGGTATGGTGGCCGTGCTTTGAATGGGCATGATGGGTGCGTAATGGGCTTCGGTACGAACGCGTTGCATGGGCATGGTGGGCATGATGGGCGTGTGCATGGTTGACAAGTCATGGGAGGTCTGAGTGAGAATGATTAATGGCTCTTGAGTCCGATTGAAGGGCCATTGAGCCGGATCAGGCCGGATTCAGCCAGGGATTAAACCGGATAAAGCGGAATCGAGCTGGATTAAAACTGGGAGTGAGCATGTGCATGGGCACGTGTCTGAGAATAAGAGGATACCAATCATACAGTGGAGGCCAGTCCACAAGACACCTTCCACAATAAACCAAACCCTGAGACCTCAAGGCGCCAATCGATTTTTGGTGTGGAAACGTTACGCTTTCCATCGCAAAACCATCGAAACTCAAGAAACCGGCACCCTGGAGGCGAGCAGGCTGTTTCTTGGCATGGGCCCCCACTGTACATCTGCACCGATCCTGGCCAGGCCTATGAGGGCCCAGGATCGGTGTAGTCGCCCTTCCTGGCTTGGCGAGAAAGGCGTTCACACCAATCCTGAGCCCAAGATCGACCTGACCAGGATCGGTGTAGGTGCATAGTTGGCGCCCTCCGAGATGGACACGGGCACCAGCTTTCCCCAGAGGTGTGATGTTCGCAGCCCTCAGAGGGAGGGTAAGGGCACAACAACAAACGACGACTGCTAACCAACGACAAGCAGACCTACTCGCGTCGTGAACAAAAAACGGCGGAAAATGTATTCGAATTTCAGTTTCTGGAGACCCTTGTGCCAATCATCGGGAGCGTCAACAAACGGCTCAGGATCAAAAGCCGGCCCCGGGGAAGGGGTCCACACCTCTGGTGGTCCATGTCATGAACTGGAGGCCTCCCCAATGGGGTCCAAGTAAATGGGGTCGCAGGATCGTGCCGCATCGCAGATGCATCACCGATGCGTCGGCGACGTCGGCGTGGAGAAGACTGGGCTCCACATCGAGCCGTATCGCCGATGCGACGCGATGCGGAGCGATCCTCCAACCCCATCTGCTCGGACCCCATCTCCCGTATGAAGATAATCATCTCGTGGGATGTCTGGGAACGCGGGGATGAAGAAACGCGCACCGTTCGTGCACCTCCAGGGGGTACCCTTTGGGCTCCTCTTTCTGGCGGCCCTCGATCCCACCCCAAGTATAGTCAGACCTGGGCCAGAAAAACATCCCTCAAGAACATGAGCCCCTCCGTCGGCCAAAACAGACAGAACCTCCAAAAGGGTACCCTCCCCAGGATGCACAAGAGCATCCGACCAGCACGAAGATAACTTGGGTACGTACCCTCCCCGAACCGACTTCGATCCTATATCTCGGTCCGACTGTAACAGGTGGCACGCATGCCCTGGTTCTTGCACGAGGGAGGGCGAGAGCCCGGCGAGGCGGGGTGAGGAGGGGCCACCCTGGGGCCATCAGGAACATCATGAGGAGGCAGGGCCTCGGGGCCCTGGGGGGGCCGACGAGCGAACAAACGAATGTCGGCGAAGATGAAGGGCTCCGAGCTCTTAAACACAGCTGTGCAAGAGAATCAACAAAAACTCCCACCGCCGGTCGCCGCAAGCTGTCCGCCGGGGGCCGCTCCGAACAGCATGCGCGCGCGCGAGCAGTGCCGCCGACGCTCGTCGACGCCGTCGTCGCCCGCGGCCTCGTCCTCCACGGCTGGCGTCTTACGCCGCACCCCCAAAAATACACCGGGGCGCCTCGCGAGCGCGGCGGCTCGCTCCTCCTCCCAATCCACGGCTCCTCCTCCCTCCTCCTGTCCTCCTCCTGTCCTTCCTCCTGGCCTTCTCCGCCAGCTCCTGCCTTTCTTCATGTCGGCGGCGAGCGCCAGGGGGGAAGTGAGAGAGGGCGGGCCCTCTCAGAAGGCTCGGACGTCCCCCAGGCTTCTGAGAAGTTTCCCAAGTCTTCCCAGAAGAACCCTCTCAGAAGGCGCGAGGGCGTCTGAGAAGTCCCGCCGCCTTCTGAGAAGGCCTTCTCTCCTTCTCACGTCCCCCCCTCTCGCTGCCGATCCTGAGCCCCTCCGCCAACTCCTGCCTTTCCCCCACAAGCCCCCACCCGCCGCATCGCCCCCCGATGCGGGCGCATTTTCTCTCCGCGCGCCCCGCATCCACCACCTCGCGGACCCGACCCCCCCCTGGGCCGCGCCCCCGCGGAGACGGGGCGCTTGGTCGCGGATGCCCCGCGCGGAGCGCACCCTTCCACGTCATCGCGTGTCAGTGGGATCGCGCCCCAGAAAATGCAGACCGCCGCAGGCGTGGATGTGGATACGTTCGCCGCTCGCGACGGCCCTGGGAGGCCCTGGCGTGGTACCATCCAGCCCAAGATCAGATCCCCCAGGGATGGTAATCATCAGGCGCTGGGGCGACCCACGCGCTGCCATGTTGCAAGGAGCGTGAGCGTCGTGCGCTGGATCGCCCGACGCTCACGGCAGCACGGGTGTGGCCTGCATGATACGATGTAGCCCGCATGGTACTGTTTCACTAGGGTGGTACGCATCAAGCGCTAGGTGCGAGGCGGGTATCTATCCATGACCACCGCGGTGGATATGGACATATTTGCCCCCCCCACCATCATCAGGGCCCGAACAGAGTTGCCCATGTCCGCCGCCTGCCGAGGCTCCCGAAGATCTGGCCCTGGGTGGTGGTCGTGGACAAATCCCCGCCGCGGATCTGGGACATGCGCCCTGGGAACCACCACCCTCGCACCACCAGCGCGCATGCAATGTACAGTCATCGGCCTGACCTAAGGAACGATGGAAAAAGAACGAAGCCCCTTTTTCCAAGGAGGAACGCATAAAACAAACGATACATACAAAATAACGCCTACGGGAGGATAAATAACGCATGCGAACCTAAGGGACGACCGAGCCCCTTTTGAAAAGTAAGTGTTCCTTGTTCAAGCCGCTCACTGTACCAGCGCCGGGACCGCAACGCCCCAGACCCCCCCCAGGGAGCAGTTCTGCTGGGGGCCATGGTCTTAACATGCGCCCAAGCCCCTGAAGCGAGACGCCACTCTATGTGAAAGCGCGCGTGTCCACCACGCGATTGCCCACCCAACGATCTCATACAGTCGGGCTGCTGAAATAAGGGACGATCACGAAGGAACGAAGCCGCAATTTTGGTGCCACAAGCGCCTGACTGCACGAGGAGGGCTAGAGGAACAGCCATGGAAGGACATAGTTGAGGAATATCGAGCCCCTTCCGAACCCAAAGCGGTCCTCATTTCAACGCCTCGACTGCCTGCAACGCAACCCCTGCCCGCAAATCGGGTGTTGCTAGAAGTGCCCCTGACCCAAGGTGCCCCCAGGATTTCCACGGAGGCCCCCACGGCCTCCAGAGCACCCCTCACAAGGCCCAGAGAGCCCCATCCAAAATCGAACGAAAAGCTGGGGACACCTTGGGCCAGGGGCACCCTTAGCAACCCCCGAGCAAAGAGCTTGGCCTGCCGATCACGCCCTACACGTGCCGAGCCGCACCCAGCGGCCTTCGGCGGGTGGCGAAGGGCCCCAGGCGGCCTGCCCGCGAGCAGCTTGGGGTCCCAGCCCACGGGCCTGACGGGAGGCACCGGCCCAGCCGAGTCGGCGCTGGGGTCCCCCCGGCGCGCTCCGGCGCACGGAGCGCCCCAGGGGCGGCGCCTGAGGCGCCGCCAAGAGGGGACGCCCAGCGCCGATCCGAGAAATCCGCGCGGACCTCTGAAAGTCATGCTGATTCGCGGTGAACGAAGTCCCAATGATGGGTTTCTGACGCGATTCAGGATCGTCAAAATGCAACAATAACGGTGATTCGCGGCGTTGATTTCTCAAGAATGGCGTCTTGGCACCATTTCAGATTCTCAGACGGTTGTCTTTCAACGGGGCACTGCCTCCAGTGAGCATGGATCCGTGTAGGGGCCTATGAAGAGGGAACCTGGAGGGAGGGTTGACTGCAACCTCGTTGATAAGCCTTGGGTTTACACTGGTCCTCCTCCTCATCCCTCCTCCCTCCTCCCTCCTCCCTCCCCCTCCCCCCCCTCCCCCCTCCCCCCTCCCCCCTCCCCCCGCCCCCCGCCCTCGTCCCTCGCGCAGCTGGCGCCCTCCCGTCGAGGTGGGCAGCGGCGCCCAGGTGCCGCAGCCGCGGCCCCCTCCCGCCATCGTGGGGTCCTGCTCCAGGGTCGGGGGCGGGCTGGGCTCCGCCGCCTCCTGTGCACCTCGCGGGAGCGGAGGGCGCGGGAGGCGGACGGGGGGGGGGAGGGGAGGGGGGGAGGGGAGGGGGCGAAGGGAAACACCCTGGAGGGCGGGAGGAAGAAGTCAAGGAGGAAAGGCCCCTGTGGCCTTCCACATCGGGTCGCCTGCATCTGCGCCGAGACGCGCTGCGGCATCGCAGGTCTCGGCAAGACTACCCGTTGTGCTCCGATTGCCTATATAAATGCTTCCTGGCCGGCGCATGGGTTTCTATCCGCGCGAATATTGGCAACCTATCGGGCAGCGAGGCCACATGAGGTACGGCTTGCAACTCGGCTGATCCACCATATTGCGCTTTATCTGCGAAAACTGTGGTGGGTCGTCGGCAAGGAGAAGCTTTCACAACCTGCGACTGCCACAGCACTGTAACTGTGCAAGGCGCCTCTGAACGCTCGCGCGAGTTTGGTTTGGAGGCCTTGGGAGCATGGCTCGGGGCGCACCCTTTCAACATGGCCTGAGATAGTTTGGGTGCCCGTCCTGTCTCCTGGTCGGGTATTTCAAAGGTACGCCTTCTCACTTTTTGGGTCTTGAGGGCGCCAGGGATGCCCAATAAGCTAGCGAGATCGCCCCAAGACGGCCTGAGACTTGAGAAGGCCCCCAGAACGGCTCGAGGAGGGGGAACGCGACTGACGCGTGGAGCTCTGGACCCGAAGATGGCCTCCGAGACCGCCATTGCTCTCGAAGCTACTGCTGCGAGAGAACAGCTTCCGCCACGATACCCCCGCAACCACATCGCGCATGATGAATACGGCACGCACGCCGACTGCCATTGCGAGGCCTAGAGACGTGCAGTTTCAAGGGGCACTCGCGCTTGAGTCTGCCCGATGCACTTGGTCTCTGTGTTTGAGCAAACTCCCTGGCGCACGCGTTGATCCCCACGTTGTAAATGATCAGGATCCACTGTGGGCAGCGCCATCCTCTTTCTCCTGCTTGCGGCTGATTGAATGTATGCTGCTTGCTGTTTGGGGCTTACCTGGTGCTGATGGTTACTTCTTACGGGGTAGATATGATGTTGCTTGCAGGCGCTGGATGTTGGTGGTCGCCTGTCCTGGCGGGCACCGCCAGCTCTGAAGCTTGCCTGCTGCGTGCGCTGGCTCGTCCAGGCGAAGCATTGGAGCCATCTTGACTCCCTCTTGGGGTTTCACTGGAATGTTGTTGTTGCAACGGCCTTGCGAACATAAAAAACAACTGCCGAGCAAATTGCTGCGACGCGCCACTGCCACACGCAAGGTAAAAACTGTCCAGCGCATGGGAACCTTGATTGGGCTTGCTGCTGGCTGCTGGTGATTGTCCCTCTTGGGTGCAGCTGGCCCTGCTGTTGCTTCTGATGTTCGCGTTTTGCGATCAGCGGCTCGCCTTGTCCTGGTGTCGCCTCGGGGGCCACCCAACTCAGGCACGCGCTAGCATGGACAACGGATGCGCGGATCTGGCGCGCGGGCACCAAACACACGGATCAGCGAAAGTACTTACCCCCGAAGCATGATCGGGCGTTGGCAGAACTGGTTTCGTGGGACCTGGCTTAAAAATGTGGACTGGGGGGCGCCTCCCAGGCCCCATTCCACTAATCGGAACTGCCGTCACCCGAAAAAAAAAAAACAACTACGGCATACCTGGCCAATTTAGGGGTTCCGGGGCCCTACTACTAACCGGGTCCCCTTGCCTGGGGTCCTGGCTATACCCGACATGAAGCCGCTGCCGCCTGATGTGCTGGCTGAGCGCGTCGGCTTCGTACGTCTGTGCTTCCCCGGCTGTTTGGGGATCCATGCGGGGGCCCCTCGGGGCCACCTTTGGGGCCTCCCTCCTGCGCCCGTGCGCTTCGCGTCGCGTCGGCGGCCCCACGCTCGAGCGCCCCCCGCGCCCAGCGGCGACAACCACCTGGGCGGCAACGGGCGGACCGGCACTTCCCTCCGCCCCTCCTCCCACTGTGTGGGGTCCCAAACCCAGGTAGCCGGGCGCCAGAAGGACCTGCGAAGGCATGCCGAGGGAGCCGGGAAGCTCCTGGAGGGAGCTTCCGAAGGACCTTCTGGAGAGCTTCCGGGCAGACGTGTTGGGAAACGTTTGGAAAAAGGCCTGCCAGAACACGCCGAGACGTGGCGCCCGCATGGATCCCTGCTGGAAGCCAGAACGCGTTCCACAAAGCCCTCTTCGCTCTCAGACAGCTATCCAGGAACTGTTGCTGTCGCTGTCGGCTCCAGGAGATCGGATCGAACGCAACCATCCCGCCCCCCAACAGCGGTCGCTTCCGGGGGAAAGGGGCTGATCAAATCAGAACCATCATTTTTTTTTTTTTTTTTTTTTTTTTTTTTTTTTTTTTTTTTTTTTTTTTTTTTTTTTTTTTTTTTTTTTTTTTTTTTTTTTTTTTTTTTTTTTTTTTTTAAAAAAAAAAAAAAAAAAAAAAAAAAAAAAAACATTAGCCTGGCGAAAGACCCAACCATACGCAGATGAGAGCGCCGCAATTGTGAACCTCGTCTTCGGCGGGGCTCCCATGAGGCCAAGAACCGCGCGAAGGGTGCGCCGATGCATGGCGGGGAACGCAAAGCGGAAGAAGACGATGGGTCTGGTAACGAGAGCCTGAAAGCGGGTGAGTCTGAGCACGAGTGGGTCTGATTGTGCATGAACACGCGTGCGGGGGAGTCTACGTGGATGAATGCCGACGCCCATATCAGCACCCCCCCTCGCGTGGATCGCCCCCGCACCTTCCCGCTCTTTTTCCCCCTCTTTGCCCGCGCACCCCAGTGCCCAAGGCTGCGGGCGCAGCGCAGCGCGGAGTCCCCGCGACGCGCGCTGGTCGCCCCGAAGGGGTCCCAGCAAGAAGGACGCACGCGGGTCGTCCGCTGCGCGGAGCAAAGTGAGCTAGCTGGCTGGCCGGGAGCGGGCGAGGCTCTGGGCGCCGGGCAGAGCGACGACGGGCGAACGAGGCGCTGGGCAGTGCGCGGCACGGAGTCCCCGCGAAGCACGCTGGTCGCCCCGAGAGGGTCCCAGCGACGCGCACGGGTCGTCCGCGGCGCCCGGCCGAACTGTGGGACAGCCTGGGTATGGCGCGGTTCGGCCGGGCCGCTCCCCATGGTCATGCCTCGCGGATAAACTCGGTGAAGCCCAGCTCCCTGGCGAGGGTCGTGGCCTCCCTCCTGCACTCCTTCGTGCGCGCAGCAAACTGCTCCAATTGCTTCCGCAAGCCCGCCGGCGGCCCCGCCAGGAGCAGGAGGTCCTCGTGGCGCGTGGCGCGCGAGAGCAGCGCGTAAAGCTCCAGCCACCAAGTCGTCGTCGTCCTTCTTGCCGTTCCCGATCTCGTGGCGGCCGCAGTCCAGGATCACGTCTGGGCGGCGTGGGGGAAGCCAACGGCCCAAGGCGAGAATCCACATAACCAAAAAAGGTATGCCTGCGGATCGCTCGTGCCCAAGAGGTTTGGCCGTGGACTGCCCGGGGGGCGTTGTTCCCCCGCCCCGTCGCCTTCTCGCATGGTGCGCCCCTGGCACGCCACCGCGGTGATGACCCTGCCGTGCGAGAGCGGGAAGCCCGTCCGGGTGACCTTGGAGGTGCGGAACTAACCCCACCTTCGGAATGCCGCCACTGGGGCCTTCGGTGGAGCCCACGAAACGTGTCAGGGAGTGCCGAAATGGGGGTGACGGCTCCCTATGGGGCCACGAAGTGTTGTCCTGGGCGGGGGAGACGCATGCGAACTGCGCCACTGGGGCCTTCGGTGGAACTCCCTATGGGGCCACGAAACGCTGTCCTGGGCGGGGGAGACGCATGCGAACTGCGCCAATGGGGACTTCGGTGGGGCTCCCCATGGGGCCACGAAGCGCTATTCTGGGCGGGGGGTACGCGTGCGAACTGTGCCACTGGGGCCTTCGGAAGAGCTCCCTGTGGGGCCACGAAACGCTGTCCTGGGCGGGGGAGACGCATGCGAACTGCGCCCCTGGGCCTTCGGTGGGGATCCCTATGGGGCCACGAAGCGCTGTCCTGGGCGGGGGAGGCGCATGCGAACTGCGCCACTGGGATTTCGGTGGCGTTCCCTATGGGGCCACGAAGCGTTATCCTGGATGGGGGAGAATTGTGCCACTGGGACCTTCGGTGGAGCTCCCTATGGGGCCACGGAGCGCTGTCCTGGGCGGGGGAGACGCATGCAAACTGCGTCATTGGGACCCTCGGTGGGGCTCTTTATGGGGCCACGAAGCACTCTCCTGGGCGGGGGGGACGCATGCGAACTGCGCCATTGGGACCTGAGGTGGCGCTCCTTATGGGGCCACGAAACGCTATACTGGGTGGGGGAGACGCATGCGAACTGCGCCATGGGCACCTTCGGTGGAGCTCCCTGTGGAGCCACGAAGCGTGTAAGGGGTGTGCCGAAGCTGATGGCGATGACTGTGGCGATGACGGATATGATGATGACGACGATGGTGACTGCGACGATGACGATGATGACGACGATGATGATGCTGATGGTGATGACGATGATGATGCTGTTGTTGATGATGATGGTGATGATGATGATGGACAGAGGGAGGAGGGGGAGGAGGAAGGAGAGGAGCGCGGGGCACCGTCTCTTCAAACCGAAGACCCAACACCACAGGATGGCTGCGTGACGATGACGAGGAGGAGGGAGGAGGGGAGGAGGAGAGGAGGAGGAGAGGACGCGGGGCGCTGTCTCTTCAAAACGAGGGCCCAACACCACACGACGGTTGGGAATGAGGCGCCAGGAAAAACGAGAAACCCCCAGTCCCCGTGCGGCGGCGGAAAACCTGTTCACGCGCACGCTCGCCCCCACTACTGCACGCAACGCCTCCAGGAGGGCGACAGAAGTGCGGTGCAGCGGAAATAAACCGGTATTCCACCGCCTTGCCCGCGCCGCCCAGCCGGCTATCCGGCCAGCTCGGCCGCCAGCGCGGCGCGGGCAGCGAGCTCGCGCTCCTGGCCGGACGAGCTGCGCAGCTGCCGCGAAGTGGCGCGGCGCAGTGCAGTGCGCACCTGAGCTCCGCGCCCCAGCTGGCGTGCCAGTGCACTCGCCTCCCCGCTGCGTGAGCCCACGTACGCTCAGCGCTACTTGGCTTATGATCTGCCTTGCCGGGGCGACGGCCCCCGCGCCAAGCCCCAGCGGGCACAGGCGGGCTCCCCAGCGGCACGTCTCTGACGTTCGCTCGCCTGCCCCTCCGGCCGACAGCATGTCGAGGAGGAGGAGGTGGTGGAGGAGGAGGAGGGGGAGGTAACGCGGAGGGGGAAAGAAGCGGAGGAGGAAAAGAAAAGAGGGGGGAGGATGAGGGGGAGAGGGGGGGGGAGTGGAGGGGGGGGGGGAAGGAGGGACGATTCCCCGACCCCGAAAACCCGTGCGACCCTGTTCGAATGATCTTTCTCTGAAGCCCGCTGCCCAGCGGCGGCGGCGGGGCGCGAGGGGGCACGGGGTGGGGGCGAGCCTGCGGCGGCGGCGGCCTCGAGCAGCTGCTCCTGCAGGGAAGACTCCTGGGGGATGGCGAGTGGGAGAGGATGGCGACTGGCGAACCTATCTGCGTATGCCCTCGCGGTCTGGGCTCTGGGGCGCGATCCGCGATCCCGCGGATACACGGTCGCGCGGATACGCTCTGCGCGGGGGATCAACGACACAACGCTCCGTATCCACGGGGCTGCGGCCCAGGGGCTGGGCCCGAAAGGCTGGGGATACGGATATGTTTTCCGCCCACGAGGGGAATATGCGCCTGCTCTGTGCACCTTGAGGGCCAAGTATCCTGCACATCTGCTCTTCGCGGATGCTCCTAAGGCGCAAACCTTCGCGCATCGCGCCCTGCGACGCGCGACTCGGAAGTATTTTCGCGCGAACGCGCCGCCGCCTGAGAGAAGCTGCGATGCTCGAGGCGCGGCTATCTTCGCGCACCCTCGGGTGACCTAGTTCTCCTCACTTGCGGCTTGCACTGGAGTTCTGCGCTCTGCTAGAATGCTACACCGGAGTCGGCCTTGCTCTCTCCAGACGCTGCGGTCGTACAAGAATAGCCCGTGAAAGAAAGGGAATGGGTAGAGGGAGAATGAACTGATAACTTCTTCGACGTGGCGCACCGCAAGATTACGACACTCACGAACCACATCCCGCACCAATCGTGACCAGCATGTCTTCAGCGAACAACTGGACACCGAACTCTCCGTCAGTTCGTTCAGAGCTACGATGTATACCGCATTGCTAATGTGCACTTTTCAGCCACAGTGCTGAACGAATAGCGGGCGAAGCGAGAAGTGAGGAAGGACAACGACAACGGACACGGAGAAGTACGCGGAGGAAGGCGGGCCAAGGATGAGGAGGATCAACGGAAATACGTATATATACACAGACAAGACTGCATTGGCGCTTCGTGCCATGCACCTTGTTCCTTGTAGTTCCGAATGCAGGCGGCGTGCGTGCGCGTGGACATGGGGGCGGGCCACCGCCAAGTCGGAATGGGTGAGAAGTTCCTGAACGGGAGCGACCGGACAACACCAGCTGAGGCCACCTCAGGGCGTTTCGGGGCCCAGAGGCGCGAATCTGTCTCAGGCAAGTGGCTGGGCTAGCATGAAGCAGGACATCCTCCTCCTCTTTCTCCTCCTCCCCCTTTCCCTCTTCCTCTGTCTCCTCATCCTCATCCTCTTTCTCCTCTCTCCTCCTCTTCCTCTAATTCCTCCACCTCCTCCTTCTCCTTCTCCTCCTTCTGCTCTACCTTATTCTCCTCCTCCTCCTCCTCCTCTTCCTCCACCTCCTACAGAACATGCAAAAATCGGCATGCACGCTGCTGGGCTGACGGCTTCGAGCCCCAAAGAGGCCCAAGGCTGGCCCAAGAAGGCCAACAAAATAGAACATCAATGAAAACCCATTGGAAAATCAATGTTGTTCGCCTTCTCGCATTTCGCTTACGATCGGCTCTTGAGGCGTCAAGATAGCCCCAGGACGGCTCCAAATGACTCCCCAGACGAGCCCCAAAGAGGCCCAAGGCTGGCTCAACAGGGCCCGGAGAGTCGGAAATCAGAGAAAACCCATTGGAAACCAATGTGTTCGGCCTTCTCGCTTTTCATTTCAAGTTGGCTCGAGAGGCGTCAAGATGACCCCAGGATGGCCTCAGAGAGGCGTAAACCGAGGCCCACAGAGGCCCAAGGCTGGCCGAAGAGGGCCCAAAGAATCGAACATCCGTGATAATCCTTTGGGAAATCAGTGTTTTTGGTCTTCTCACCTTGTCGCTTCCGATTGGCTCGTGAGGCATCAAGAGAGGCCCAAGACGGCTCCAAATGAGTCCCCAGACGAGCCCCAAAGATGGCACAGACTGTCCCTAGACGGCCCGGAGGTTCGCAAATCGAAAAAAAAAACACACCCATTGGAAAAGCAATGTTTTCGGTCTTCTCGCCTTTTCGCTTCAGAGGCGCAAGCCGAGGCCCACAGAGGCCCAAGGCTGGCCGAAGAAGGCCCAAAGAATTGAAAATCAATGAAAACCCATTGGAAAAATAATGCTTTTGGTCTTCTCGCCTTGCCGCTTACGATCGGCTCTTGAGGCGTCGAGATAGCCCCAGGATGGCTCCAAATGAGTCCCCAGACGAGCCCCAAAGAGGCCTCAGGCTGGCCCAAGAGGGCCCGGAGAGTCGAAAAGCAGAGAAAACGCAAGGCGCAAGGCAGGCCCGAGGATTGGAAATTCGTTTGGGGGGGGTCAGGGGTGGTGCGCTCTTTCCGGGGTCCCCGGCCTTATAAAAATTAATGAATACGAATATACACGCACACACACGCTCGAACCACGCGCGCTCAGGTTCTAGCACGCTCCACTTGTAGTCCGAAATCTTCGGCATCTGCGGGGGCACACGGCGACGACGACGACGACGACGGCGACGGCGACGGCGACGGCGACGGCAGCGACGACGACGGCGATGAACGACGACGCCGACGCCGACGCCGACGACGGCGACGGCGACGGCGACGGCGACGGCGAGGACGACGGCGATGGCGACGGCGGCGACGACGACGACGACCACGCCCCCACGACCACGTGGAGGTCCCCCTCCTGGCCTGGCCGAACCAAACCCCTCCTCCCTGGCGCGCTGGGCCGCTGACGCCTGCGGGCTGCGCCGTGTCCGAAGGAGCGACAGAGAGGAGGCGGAGGAAGGAGGCGTAGGAGACGACAGTGTTTTTCCTCGGGTGGCCCATGAAGCAACCTGCACACATGCAGCGAAAGAGTGGGGCGGGGAGGAGATCCATGCCTCCAGCACAGATCTTGCACCAAGACCTCAGTACCACCCATTGGTGCCGAGGCGCACCAGGACTGAAAACATGAACTTTCTCTACGCGACCAGCGCGGCATCCCCCGCAGGAGAGGTTAGCCAAAAGAGGACGGAAGAAACAAACTTCCAGTTCGAAACTTACACGAACTCCTCCTCAAAGTTCGCCGGCCCAACGGGCCAGAGGCGTGCTCAGATCTCCGGTAACTACTCAACAATATTTCTAGTTCGCGCGCGCGGGGCGGCCCCTGGGGGGCCCCGGACGAAAAGTACCCCGGCTGACCCCCGGCCGGGTCCCGGTCGGGTCCCGCGCGATCCCCAGGGGAGAGACTAGTTTTCGCCACCCCTCACGAGGGAGGATCGTGGCCTCCGAGGGGGGGGGGCTGCAATCGACTGCCCCCCCTCCCGCCCCAAGGGGCCCCCAAGAGTCCCCCGAGAGGCCCCAGGGGAGCCCAATACGCCGCCGAGGAGCCCCAAGACGCTCCCAGAAGCCCCCAAGAAGCCCTCAAGACGGCCCCAAGACGGCCCCAAATAGCGCTCCAGGGCCGGCGGTGAGCGAAGCGATCAAATAGTGCACCTCTGTGCACCGCGAATCTATTGCCCACTACCTCTCCCAGGCGCCGCGCCGGACGCGCACGAGGAGGACTACCGATCAGGAAAAGAAATGGAGGAGGAGGAGGAGGAGGAGGAGGAGGAGGAGGAGGAAGAGGAGGGGGGAAGAAATTGGCATGAGAGGCAGGAAACTGAGCTCGCCCGCTCCTATGCTGTGCAGAACCCCGTGGGACTTGAGGGAGAGGCCGGAGAAGGAGGAGGAGGACGACGACGACGGCGAGGAGAATGTAGAGAAGCGTCTGCTCGCTGCAGAGAGAAGACGTGGGCGGATAAGGAGTGGACGGAGGATCGCCCACGGAGATCACCCAGGAGGCATGTTGGGCAGTCTTGGGGCGAGCTCGGGGGGCTCGCGGGCCGTCTTGAAGCGTCGGGAACCCGAAAAGGCGAGGGCGCGCCAATCATGGAAAAAAAAACGATACGGGCAATCCGAGTTGTTTGGACCCTGGAGCGGTCGGAGGCTGTCTGAGGGCGCGCCCCCCCCTCCCGGGCGGGCGGAGCTCCTCGCCCCCGCTCGTGGCGCTCCTCGACTTCGCCCCCCGCTCGCCCCCGCTCGCCGCAGGGTCGGTCGCCTCGAGCTCCGCCTGCCGCGCCGCATGCCCCGCCGCGCCTCCCTCGCCCTCTTTCTCCACCTCCTCCTCTCTCCTCCTCCACTCTCCTCCTCCACTCTCCTCCTCCTCCTCCTCCTCCTCCTCCTCCTCCTCCTCCTACTCCACCTTCCTCCTCCACTCTCCAGCTCCACCCTCCTCCTTCGCCTCCCTCCTCCGCCTCTGACCTCCACTTTCCTCCTCCACTCTCCTCCTCCTCCTCCTCCTCCACTCTCCTCCTCCTCCTCCTCCTCCTCCTCCTCCTCCTCCTCCTCCTCCTCCTCCTCTGCCCTCCCTCCCATCCGTCCGTCCTCCATTTCCTCCGCCCTCCCTCTATCCCTTCGACCCCTGCCTCACCCCTCCCACCACTGACGAATGGAGACGACCGTCTTTGGCAACAACGGAACGCCACGGTCGACGCGGAGGCGCTGGGCAAGATGATCTCGCGGCTGGGTATCGATCCGGATCGCATTTAGAGGGCGATGACGGTCGTGGAGACCAAGGTCGCCCGTCCCTCCACGTGGTCCAACCCTTCCTGGGTGCGCCGACGAGTCGGAAGACATAGACCCCCTCGCGTCGTGGCAAAATCATGAGAGGAACAATTTGGCCGTCTTCGGCCCCTGGGGTCCCTCGCCAGCCCAGGGCTGTCGAAACACGAAAAGGAGCTTCGGACCCGGGTCAATCCAGACCCGGGTTAGTCAGGCTCTGCAGGATCTGGCAAGATCATGTACGATCCTGCAGCACCCTACACCCAAGCCCGGGTCGGTGCATCCCTGGCCATGCAGGGTCCTGCAAGATCTGGCGCGCTGCCTGACCCCGTTTGCATTGCCCCCGATCTCTTGAGCCCCGAAAGCGGCTCGGCATGAAAAACCGGTCCCGGGGAATGGGTCGAGATCTCCAAGGTTCAACACTGTGGAAAACACCACAACGTGAGAGGTCTGGGGAGGGGGGTGGTTAGCGCACCAGGGCAGCCGTGCTCTAGGCATGTGTACGGGCGTCGAGGGGGAGCAGAAGGCGTAATGAAAGACGAAGCGTGGGACATGAGGTCTGGGAGACTTCATGGCCTCGGCCCTGATATCCACAACCCCTCAGCTGGAAATCGATGTGGGGGGGCAGCTCAAGGGAGAAACGTCGACCTGGAATCGGCGATGTATCGCCGATAGATCGGCGACAGGCTACCAATACCGAGACCGCACGGTCCTGAGCGGTGTGGGCTATCAGGCCCTTACTGGCGATGAATGGGCGGTTGGGGGTCGATGCGATTTCTCCTGAGCCTACCCTCCCCCACCCTGACGTTGCCCCTGACACCCCTCCCCCCAGTCCTCACACCCCTCTGCGTCGCCTGGTGCCTTCCCCGCCCCGATTCGGGCGGGTACTAACCTAATACAGCGCAAACATGGCTCAACCATTTTGACAACAAACAAAAAAAAACGCTGCCATTGTTTTCCAGCTCCTCGGCTCCTCAATTCTGGCACGGAACGTATGCAAGGCCACCCCCAGGGCCGCGAGCGGCTGCTAATCCTGGTTCGGCCAACATCCAGCTCTGCAGCATCCTACGGGATCCAGCGCTCAGGCTGAGCTCCGATTGCGCTGACTCCCAGTACCTGCCAGCTGACCTACGAAACCCAGCTAAAGAACGGCCTCCCAGGACCCATCCAGTTGGCACTTCTCCCAGCCTGGGAGCCGAAAGTATATACACTAAGATATGCGGGCCTTCGCCCGACACATAACGTACATATTTCGTTGGACGCTTCACACTCGTAAACCTACCTCGAACAGTGTACACGATCTTGTGCGCGGTGTCGGTTGCGAGCACAAGCTCATGGCCTTGTCCCCGACATCAGAGCAAGGACACATGCGACAACGGCGTTTCTGGACAGCGTGCACTGGGGGCAGGGAGAAGGGGGAAGGCTTCTCAGAAGCAGGCTGCTTCTCAGAAGGCACCGGCCTTACATCTACAGACAAGGCCCCTGCCTCCTGAGAAGCAGGGGTGCGTCGAAGAAACCTTCCCCCATCGCCCAACCCCCCCCTTTGCGCGTGGCTGAGCCTCTCCCGCCCCGCCCGGCCCAAATCCGCTACATATCGGTTCCCAGATCCCTCCCGCGGGTCCATCCTGACCTACGTCTTGACGCGGATGCAGGCGTGGCGAGGAGAAGCCCCCAGGAGGCCCCAAGCGGGGGGACAAGGCGCCAGGGAAGCCGCCGCTGTCTCGACTGGCCCTCCTCCGACGACGGCCGCGCGTGGGGCGATGTGCGGGAGCTCGCAGCGTGTCCCTCAAGCGCTTTCCCACTCCTCGGCGGCAACTCATGGGAGCCTCGCGTGCCGTCTTGCTGGCTCTGGCGACACGGCGCTGACTCAAGCTTATCGGCGCCAAGTTGACATTCATCGACGCTAGATCGACGCTAATTACATCCGCGCCAATGAACTCCAAAAGTCGGAACTGAGAGGACACAGACGGCTCCTATGACTTGCTACTGAACTACTCGTTCCCCATGCGCGGGCTACCAGACGCCAGCGCACGCCAGTGCACTCTAAAGCTCGAAAGACCGAACTTCGACGGCACACAGGGCTCCCATGAAAATGATGCTACTGCGCTGCTCGTTCCCAACACGTGGGCCGCAGACGTTTGCGCAGCTCCTGCGAAGCGCTCCCTGAGCTCGTGCACGCGGCCTTGCCCCCCCCACCCCCCACGCCGGCGCCTTCAGCAGCGTCTCCACGGGCGGCGTCGGCGCCAGCGCCTCCACGGGCGCCAGCCCGTCGTGGTCCTCGCCGTCGCCATCGTCGGCGTCGCCGGCGCCCTCGTCGCCGTCGGCGGGGCGCTCGTCGCCATCGTCGGCGGCTCCGTCGACGTCGGCGTGGTCGGCGGCGACGTCGATGTGATTTCTTCCATGCGCAGCCCCAGAGGCCCTGACCCCTTCCCGGGGGCAGTTGTTCGCCCAAGAAACATTTGTAATGGCCCCGGGGCCCTACATGACGGGCCCCAGGGGCCGAACTCGAAGATAAAACGCTAGGATACCAAACCGTATCGTCGGAGATCTGGGATCGCCAGCGTCGTCGCCGTGCTCGTCATCTCTCGTCGGCGTCGTCATCGTCGCCTGGCGGCGGCGTCGACGTCAGCGGCGTCGTCGGCAGCGGCGTCGTCGCTGGCGTCGCCGCCGCCCGGCGCCTCCGCGGCCGCCGGCTCGGGCAGAACGCGCTCGGACGTGCCGTCGCCCAGCGGGGCGCTGCTGCACAGCCTCGGGGCACAGTCCGCGCGCGCGCGCGCACCGGCGCCCGCGCCGGCGCCGCGAGTGGATGCGCGCGACGTTCTCGCCGCCGCGATCGCCCGCCGGCGGTGTCGTCGTCGGTGTCGTCGTCGTCGTCGTCGTCGACGTCGTCGTCGTCGTCGTCGTCGTCGTCGTCGTCGTCGTCGGCGGCGGCGGCGGCGGCGGCGGCGGAGGCGTGTGGCGCCGTCGGCGGCGTCGTGGGCGTTGGCGTCGTGGTTGTCGTGGTGGTCGTCGTCATCGGCCCCGCCGTGATCGCCCGCTCGTCGTTGTCGCTCGTCGCCCGCGGCCGGCGCGCTCGCCCACCGGGCTGGCCGCCCAGGCCCCAGGCATGGGAAGCAGCATGCCGTTGTCCGCGAGGAGCCTGAGCACGTCCTGGCTGGCGGCCGCGCGAGAGGAAGCCCCGCGAAGTACTCGCGGCCTCGCCGTGGAGGGAGTGCGTGCGACTGGCGCCTCCGCGCCCTCCAAACGTTCTGTTTTTTTCATGATCGGACCGACGGTTAACCGCCTTTTTGCCGAGCGGAGCGCGCCAGGGGCGACGCCGGAGGCACCGCCAGGGGGCCCCAGCGCCGATCAGACGAGTCTGCACGGAACTCTGAAGGTTTATGCTATGCCGCCGTTTCTCCTTTGAATCGTATGACGCGCTCGCCACGCCCCGATGGCATGGGGTCGAGGACTCCGGGCATATTTTTCTGTTGCTGTGAAGGAGGAGGAGGAGCGAGCGACGCATCAAACCCTCGCTGATGAATGTATGGCCAGCGTCAAAAAAAATGAGGAGGATGAAGAGGAGGGGGAGGAGGAAGAGCATGAGGAGGAGGAGAAGGATGTCCAATCCCAGCAACCCCAACCGAACCCGAAGTAACGGGAGGGGGCCGAATTGGCGGGCACCTCAGGGACTCCTGAGGCCCCAGCGAGGTGGATCAGCCCTATGGCGGAACCAGATTAGAAGGAGGCCCAGACCACCCAAAGGCACACGCCAACGTCTGGGGGGCGGAGGGCGACAGCCTGGAGCGGAAAACACCGCCAGAAGGGGGGTGAGGCTCAAGGGGCTACACCGAACGAGGGCCATAGTCGGCCGCGGGCTGGCTGTGACCACGCACAGCGTGGCCGCAGCCCCTGCCCCCCCCCCCCCTCGCACAGAATCACGACAGCCCGCGCAGGAGCAGGGGCAGCCACGACCACTTGTGCGCCGAGGCCATAAGAGACCGCTGCCCGCATGCCTCGCGAGACAGATCGCCTCCAACGAGGGGCGGCGGCGGACGGCACAATCCTGGAACGAATGAAACCAGCGGGGCTCGCCCCAATAGCCTCAAGGCTGGATCGGGGCCCCACTCTGTGGCTCGACCCCTCTACACAACCTCTGAACACAGAAACGCACGTTAGCCATAGTCTAGGATTCTTAAGAGGTCCTACGCGCGGGCCCTGAGGTTTCTTGATGTAATCACCGATATGCGAACTGTAGCAACCACACAACTCGCAGACGCCCGCGGGGCCCCATCTGACAACACGGTGGCCTTCGCCAACGACGGGGGCCTAAAGGTCACCTGGAAGCAAACAACGTGTTCAAACTCTCTGCGGTCTGCGCCTCATGCAAGCCATTGTAGCATGAACCTGTTCAAAGTCGCTCTGCGTGATCGACAAGTTCGAGATCCACGACGCACATTTCTTCGGCGGGGGGCCTCGACCTGCAGCTCACCATACATCCGAACTGCTCTGGAAACCATGACGGCAAGCTGTTTCGTGCTATGGGTCGCAACTCTCGATTACTATCCATCAACGTTTTGGTCACCTGGCTGTCGACAGCTCCTGCATACGAACACAGATCAGCCCATGCATTCGCAATCACATGCGCCATGGAGCCGCCACCGTCAATCAAATCATACAAGTCTTTATGACTAGGCACCCATACAAAACGGCCATTATCTTGATCATTACCGCATAACTCGAATCTAGATCTCCAGATGCAAGCATGCGTAGACGTGGCGCTCTGGAAAGACATGTCCCATGAGTTGGCTTCCTTCACGAAGCTAAGGGGAATAGGAAGTGTAAGGACACACCTCTTCATACATGTGAGGGCCATCAAACCAACATACCGCTCGCCAAGTGGAACCGACTGCTCCCGACCAAGCAGGCCCCCATATCTCGCCCCCACGGGCCACCCAGTCAGCGGGTCCCGCTGCACCACTGCCGAGACCACCCTGCATAAAGCAGGATGAGCATTGTGCAAGCCAGAAGCATCACAATACGAGACAGCACTCCATTCACCCGAGCAGTCCCCCCACTCGTGCGCAGCGGGCGTGTCAGACGGCGGCCCTGGCTGCGACGGCTCCAAGGGGATGCCTTAGGTGAACTCAAACCTCGCAGTTGCCTCCGTTCTCGGCCACCAGCTTTCCTCGACCAGCTCGAAACTTGAGTACATCCTCAGGAGCATCATAGAGAAGCAGCTCCGACCTCTCAAGAATCTTTGGGCATTCATTCCATTGGTGCGCCAGCGTACCTCGTGGTGCCTCACAGTGAAGACATTGCCTTGATGAAAGCAGCCCAAGCTCGAGGGACCTGCCTGGGCACCAGACTACAGTCGTCGAGTGGAGCCTCTGAGCGGCCCAGGTGGTAACTTCAGCACTGCCTTGCGCATAGCACGTCTCCATACCTGCTCATCATTAATCCGTTCGTGTAGTTGGAGGGAGAAGAGGAGGAGGACGAGGAGGAGGAGTAGGAGGAGTAGGAGTAGGAGGACGAGGAGACAATGCGTCAACAGCCTGGTAACTGGCCCACACGCCAGATTGAAAATCGCGGGACACGAATTAGAACATGTGCCAAGGTCGCTATACTTGCGCATGCCGGCGGCAAGCGAGGGGGGGAAGTGAGAAAAGGAAGGCCCTCTCAAAAGCGGCGGGATTTCTCAGAAGCCCCCGCGGCTTCTCAGAAAATGACCTGTCTTCGGGGAAAGCTTAGAAAACTTCTCAGAAGGCCAGGGGACTTCCGAACATTCTGAGAAGGCCGTCTCCTTCTCGCTTTCCCCCCCCGCTTGCCGCCGAGCGTGCCACTACGCTCTACGCGGGGACTCCGTGCATGCGGAGCTGGCGACGCTGCACGGCCCTCTCGGGGCGCGGGGCCCCTGGGCGGGCAGAGGGGGCACTTGGAACCCAGCTGAGCTCGCTGAACTCGGACCCGGCTGCACTCGGACCCGAAAGAACTCAGACCGAAGGCCGCGCTGCAGCGTGAACGCCAGGGTCCGAGATCAACCGTGTCCGAGTCCATCTGGGCCCGAGATCGGCCGGGTGCGAGATCAGCCGGGTCTGAGCTCAGCCGGGTCCGAGTCCAGCCGGGTCCGACTTCCGCTGGGTCCGAGCTTCCGGGTGTGAGTTCAGCTGGGGGTCCGAGTTCAGCCGTCGGCTGAACTCAGGCCCGCCCGCGCTCGAGGTCTCGCTGGCAAGCGCCCGCACGACGTCCCCGTCACCGCAGGAGGCTTTGGAGGATGAGTATTGAAGGCGGCGCTAGGCGCCTTGAGTTGGATGTGGTGACACATGTGCCTTGAAATGGAGGTACGTGCCCCACCTCCCCCTTGGGCCGTCTTCGTTGGTCGAAGGACCGTTCTGGGGGCGGGTCCCCGGCCCCCTCCAGCGCAAATTGACGGCAGAATCGAATGGCGGGGACGGGGACCAGATTGTTTCGGCACCTACGAACGAAACGTGCCACCCCCAAGGGCCCCGGGGACAGGCGCGCCCGCCGAGAGCATTCCCGAGGAGGGACAGGCGGACGCTGCGCCCGAGTCCAAGGCAGAAACCTCGATCGGCCTGGCGGCCGGCACGCGAAAACCTTCACCACATATGCAGCGCAATCCTTTGCGATCCCCCCCGCGCGGGAAACGGGAAACAGCAGGTCGATGGGGCCCAAGACAAGGTCGTGCCGGCTGCGCCGACAAAGACCCCTGGACGAAGACGAAAACGAGGGAGATGGGCGAGAATAAGGGCGAAGAAGGGGGGGAGAAACGGAAGGGGGAAGGAGGGACAAGGGGGCACAAGGTAACAAAGTGCACCCCCATCCAGCGTTCTCGGCGCAGTCGGCGGCCCCGCCGTGGAAGGTACATTTGGTGTGATGGATGGCGCTGTTTCGAGACCCCAGCCCCGCTCGCAGCACAGGGGGGCCGTGGCGAGGGAAACAACACGGCAAAAAAAAGGACGACAAGAGGAGGGCCACGACGAGAAACGGGACAGGGCGAAGGGCAGGACGAAAGGGATAGATCAGGTGGTCGCTGCTACTGCCAGTTGGTCGTACTTGCCGCAGGCGTCCAGATAATACCAAGCCCCTGATTCCCGAAGACCCTGATACCACAAGAAATCTCGATGCCTCGCGTATCCCCACCAGCCCATCCGTTAACGATGCCCGGGCGAGCTGCAGAGATCAAGGAAGCGGAGGAACATGCAGTGGATCAAACTGAAGTCTTGGATCAGCCTGCACAGACGCAGGGGCGAACTTCGAGGACCAGCCGAATGAGGAAAGGCGGGGAAGAAGGACGAGGGGGGCGATGGAGAGGAGGTGGATGTGAACTGTACGGGAGCAGCCGTATGGAGTACAGAGACACGAAGTACAAGTAGGAGGGCCCGTGTTGTGTGACAGCACGTTCGACTTCCTGTCACATGGGCCAGGGCGCGCCCGTCGCCTGCGGGCCAGGTGGCTCAGGGGTCCTTGTGAGCCACAACGGCAGCACACAAGGGAGGTGGGAGAGAGGCGCAGGAGGAGGAGAGGCTAACACGGGCATGACAGACACGCTCCAACCTTTCTTGCAGCCGAAAGGCCGCCTCGCCTCAGTCCGAGAACTTCCGCTTAACATGATCGAAAACCGTAGCCACTCAGACCCCGCAAGCTGCCCATGTAGTCCCACAGCGTCTGCGACGTACAATCGGTGCGGCCACGCGAACACATAGGCCTCGAGAGTGCCTGTAGGAGAGGTCCATGAATGGATTGTCAGATCCTGGCTCCATGAAGGAATTGCCAGATCCTGATTCGCCCGCAGCTTTCCTCATCCATGAAGCTTTTCGGCTCGGAGCCGCTGACGTCGCACTGGTATCCAATTCGCTCCATGTACAGCGATGCCGCGCTGAGCCCACTGTGGCTAATTGAATGGCCCATCTCTTGTTCCTGGGTATCAGCTTGACCTCGAGAATCGCTAGGTCGGAGTCCTCGACCTTCTCGTCCGAGCATGCGTGGACGCTCAGAGGCGCAGTAGGAAAAACTTGTGTGGCAAGGTGCATCCTGGCCGTGCGGTTCTATAGCCTGTGCCATCCAAAGACTTGCTGCTTCGTCTGGATATTGCCCCCCAGATCACTCTCACCGTCGTAGTAGGGGCCCAGGGCTTGGTGACGCAGTCTGGT